GTAGCTCATGACCGTACAAAACCTAAGCCAAGTTTGAAGTTAGCCAATGCAATTGACAACGCGACAATAAATTATCATAAATCATTGATTAATTTTTATAAGATTTTAATACTCTTTAGAGTGGGCAGGCCGCACGTTGTAAAAGTGTAATCCCGTCGCCTGCCGAACATCGGTCAACGTGCCGTCACGCCCGTTAAGTTTGCACAGATAAGCGCCTCGTGTTGTCCATTTACCTTGGTATCATAATATTATTTGTCTATTCAATAATACCAATAATCTCGACTTTTGCACTCGAGGCATTCCATGCGAATATAAAAATACCTGTTGCCTACACCGTACACTCAATATTGTGTCCATATAAACGCCGTAGGATTTGTGTACTGACTAATTAATACATGAGCCTTTTATTTATGGGGGGTATTATCAGATTATCTTCAAACGCACTTGAGTACTGATAAAGATAGAATAATACTGACTGGTGGTTCTCACGTGAATCGGCGAAAAAAAAACATCAGTATATCTTTTAATTCGTTGTAATTACCCGTTTGACTTAAAATTAACATACTTATGGCTTTTATTGATTAACATTTTATGAGCAATCGGTTGATTAGACTGTTGTTTGTCTCCTCGACCGGACGTTAAGTCCCATGTAGTTAATTCCTTTCGGTTAAAAATAACAAACCCCGGTCGAGTACTGATCTAAAGAGAAACATAAAAGTGTACAGCATCTCCGCTTTTTATTCAAACCTCAAACTAAACTTAATCATCGGCCAATTGTTGCATTTAATAATAATTATTACAATGTCGATAACAAAAAATACCTGTTTTATACTGAGAAAACGGATTAAAAGTTTAAAAACAACACATCTGTCTTGTTTCGTTATGTTCTAGAAGTATCGCTGTAACAATTAAGTCATATTGATGTAGTATTTTTACAGACTCCAGAGATATTATATAATTAGCCGATATTTAACCATTAATCATCATAAAAAAAAGGATCAACGACACGATAATTTGTTTCGAACAAAATGTTTTTTTTTATAATTACTATACACAATTAAAACACTTCTTTTCAGAGAAGATGAGTATGAATCATACTAACCGTGTTGAAATATATACGCCCACCAGACATTTGTGATACACTAGAAAACACTAGAAAAATGATTTTGAAAGAGAAGTCCTAATTACCCTTTGAATATATTTATTTTAATAACTGACAAATGAACAAAATTATTCTTGATAACGTGTTGCAATAACAATATCAATAAACAATTAACTCTTGTGTACATGCAAAGTTAATGTACATCTCACCAGCCTCCCCAAATTGGAAATTAAAAAAAAAAAATGTTCAGTCTTTTAGTACTCTATTTGTATGAATTTGTACGACTGTTTTCAAAATTTGTACTACCACCCTTTTAGAGTAATTAATAAAATTCGTGTGTGGGGCTGACTAACTTTGCGTTAGTTACGAAAAAGTGGTACTGTTAAGAAAAAAATTGTTTTGCTAATAACAACAACAATGAAACTTATAATAATAGCATAACATACACCTATTATTATCCGAGTTGTCAAAGATTCATCATATTTCTACCATACTCGTGGGTACCTACTTTTTGTAAGAAAATATATGATGACATAATAATAGTTTTTATTATTTATTATGGCGACTACGACTGATTAATTGTATTATGACCCGTATTGTATATTATTATTATTATTAAGCTGTTTGTTTTGCTCTAATCTGTGTATCGCACTGTTATTGTTGTTGCCATTACTTGAATTTTTTTTTTCACCACACGTCTTAATGACGGGAGAAATTCAGCTGGACTAGGTAATGCGCACGACACTCGACTAATAATTTCTCCAAGACTTGTGCGGTGTATTATTATTATTGTAGAAAACAGGAGACGGGACAATACCGTCGTCTCTATGGTATCCGGCGATATTGATCAAATTAATTTCATATACTCGAACGTTGCTTCCGACATAATAGCGACGACATAAGTTTCATTGCCCCGAGACTGAACCGCAGAGGTTAGATGCTGAAATTGCATAAAATAGTTTGTCGACCTCGCGTCAACAAACATAATAAATATTACACAACTATTGATTAATAATCGTTGTTCTTAAACGGGAAGGAGGGGGTGGGTGGCAACAGCTAGCTGAACTCGGTCAAAATAAAAAAAAGTATTATGCTAAACACACATCCAGTTGGAAAATTTCAGTTGGCTGAAATTGATACGACAATTTTGTTATGAAATCTTTGGCGTGTGAAAATAAAATACAATTTCTTTGTCCGAGTTGGCTCATAATAACTGGAGAATCCTTCGAATTGATGTCTGCAAGAAATTCCATAAGGTTTCTGTTTTGCCAAAATTACAAATAATATCTACCAATTGCACGGTTAAGAATAAAAATTCATACATTTTTATCAATAGATATTTTATTAAAATAATAATTATGTAATCGAATTTGAAATAAATCAATGAACTGAAATGTTTAAAATAAGAATTGAGCATAGCAAAAATTAACTTTTACCAAAAAGTCAACGATCTCCCTTCTTTCAACATGTCCAAACTATTTCAATTTATTCTCTTATATTCTTCCAGCCGGTTGTGCCATTACCAAACATCAACCTATGTACTAATTTAGTCTTCTGTTAAACAAGTCACTCCAACATTCTCATATCATCTATTTCCATAATTCTTTGATCTCTTTTATTCAATGTCCGGCGCTAACTTTTAATTTTTGTACACACATTTTATAATTTTTAATATAAATATGGCTTTTCTGTTTAATATGTATTTATTAATTTTTGAACGTTGTTCACAATTTTTGTAAGTGAGAGATTATTTTTTAATAGTAAATTAATCTAGAGAATTATTTATTTTTACGGGCCATATATATTTTATACAAAATTCATAATTATCGTTTTAAACACACAAATATTATGTTGAAAATACTGTCTAATAAAGCCTGCTGCGTGTTATCCTTAGACTTCACGAGTCCAAGAACATAAAATTGTATTGTACAGTACAGTAATTCGCAAACAAAGCCGTTAATCTGCGTCTTACAAAAAAAAAAAAAGTTCCGCCAATGTAACAAGAACAGCGCGGTAGCTGTGCTAATAAAATGGGTTTTTTTCCTTAAAAGTTTTCCATTCTACAAATTGGACACATGATCATTTTTCTACCAAGTCCGTAGGCGTACCGCGTACACACAGTGTGCTATCGACCGGCATTACTAGGAAGGCGCAATTTAATGGAAAAACTTAAAACTAAAAAGTAAACAAAATTAACAGTAAAACAATTATTTGTTGTACCGGTGAGTGGCAAACATTTTTGCGCGCCAAGGACCTAATCCCACAGAATTTTTATGGAATGGCAAAAGTGTTCAAACGAGCCCATTTATAATACAATACGACGACCGACCGTTTACCTAATATCTTTTATGTATCAATTCCGACCGAAAAAACCAAAAATACTTCTGAGAGCTCATCGAGCATTACAGACCAAAAGATTTAAAATGTGAATTCTACATTGCAGCAAACCAACCAATTGATGCAAATACCAATCGATACGATTTTATAATTTACCTTGTTGTCCACCGATTCAACTGTGTATGCTTATTTGTTTCAAACCCTGTATATAATAATTATTATTATAGATTTTTTATAAGTATGTAAAATGCTGAAACTATTAAATTAACTGCGTCGTTCCTAATTCGTGACATTTATCTATAATTTTAAACGCGTTTCTCTTTTTCATATTATGCATCGACAGACATTAAAATATAAATTATATGAATATTGTGGTTTCGTTTGTTTTTGTAATTTATGATCTATTTCCTACTATGATAAAACACCTGCTCTATTAGTTTTACATAAAAACAGCATTCTGGACCAATAGACGGCCAGTATGCCTGTATTCCTAAAATAATAAAAAAAAGTCTTAAAAAATTTATGAAATTATCAACAGTAGCCAAAGCAATAGCTGGAATCGCGGTACATATGAATCAAGCGTTAAAAAACCCAATAATTAGATCTTAACTAGTTTTTTTTAGGTCTTAAAATAACGAAAACAGTGCAATATTGTGGTAAATCATTAAAATAGAATATTAGAACTGCGAAATAAACTTTTGAAGTAATTATTTGCGAAATAATAGGTAATATTAATATTTTTTCTGTTCTAGGGGGGGGGAGGAAGATTTAAAACCCGGAAATCCCTCTAGCCTTATGTACGGACTAACAGAAAACGATTAACATATTGTGCTTAAGCTCTGCATTTTACAGATATTAAAATTTAAATTAATTAGGTAAATAGTTTTTTCGAGCAAGAATGTTGTATAAGAATATTTTAACACTTTAGTTTATCGACATTAAAATTGTATAATTTTAATATTAAATATGAATAATTATTATTAGAATTTACAGGTATTTTATGGTACACGTTAATACCTACGCCTATCTTCTTGTTCTGCAAAATATCTTGTATCAGCTGTAACTTTGGTTAATTAATAATTACATTTTTAAACCCTATACCTAGTGTTTGGTTTTTCATAAAGCAAAAAACCAACGTCCACGAGACGCAGAACTCGGATTCGGAAGTGTTGGAGTCACCTGCATTTGATAAACGATACCGAACAATATAATGACTCTTATCAACTCAACCGTCGGTTGATCACGATGTGTAGGAGGGGGGGGGGGTATGTTTTTTCGAGCCGGATCAACAACTCTATATTATTATGTATTTTTATTTCCAATTCGCCGTCGTTTCCCCTTTGTCCTATTCCCCCCCCTCCCCAGAAAACACCTCCCCCGACGCCGCCGCTAACACACACTCACCCTTCGCCGGGGCACGCACGTCTAGGGGAAGGCTAAGGCGACTACCGACGCGCTCAAGTAGTCGCACTCCGGAGGTGAGAGGTGGAGGGGAGCGGGGAAGGTGTATTCCGCCGGTTAGTGTCGGCTTATATATACTACCGGCCGGTACGCGCCGCGCTCAGTATATCGTACGACCGCCGCCCGGCTTGTTATAAATATTCTGTACCGTAAAAATTGTTTTATTAATACCCGTCATAATATTATATTGTTAAATCAAACCTGTAATTATTATATTGTACCTGTATCATCTATTTCTGTATTATTATTATGTGATCGAAAACCGTTTTTTTTTTTTTATATAATATATGTAACTTCTAGCTTTTTTGCTTATTCTTATTAAAATTTCTTTTTTTTTTTATTAAACGTATAATAAGTTTTTTTCTTTAAAAAAAATTCATCGTATCCTATATCGTTGGCGCGTACGCGTTTATTGTAATATTTTATTTATACACAATATTGTAAACACGTCGAATAAATATCGCATTTGATCGTTTCGAATTCGGTATTGTTATTTTTTCTCAATAAAAAAAAATCGTCGACAACGGCCGGTTAAAATTAATATCGTGGTGCGATCGCGCTAAGTGTGTTCCTATCTTGCTGTTGTTGCCGGGCCATCCGCTAATCCCATTCCGAGAAACATATGCACAGGAGATGTGAGTATAACAACTGTAATCATATTGTATAAAAATATAAAATTGCTTTTTTTTTTTGCGGAGAGGGGGAGAATAGTATTTAAATGGAAAAATTCCATAACAATATAATATCAGCTGCGCCGAGCCGAGCCAACCGTTTTTCCCCGGCGGTCACGTGGTCCGCAAACCGGAATGAGTTCGTCGAATGTCTTACTACAAAATTATTATCGAAGACAGGCACTGGCTTTTGCGGTATTACATAAGTTGTGTGTAACTTTGGACGAAGGCATCCGGGCCGTTTTTGCCATTCCACCGGCGGGTCGTGTCTCCGTTGTTGTGTGTCTATTAATAGACAGCTGCTCGTTTGTCGCACACACTGTGCCGTTTTAAATTATTATTGTTATTTTAAAACACTGTAACACGCGCGCATTCCGCCGAAAATCCGATATTATACCTATTTATTATTGCCGGCACCCGTGCGACTTACCCGAGTCGGTGTTGGCGCTATTTTCGAACCTAATACCTTAAGAGGGAAATACACACGGAGCAATATTATATCACACTGTTATTATGAATGAACGGCTATTCCGGCACACGAGTTTGCGCTCCAAACACCACACAGTGTTTCCAAAGCGGCGGGTCTAGCTATAAGAAAAAAGGGGGAGGGTCGCGCTCGCGTTTGTGTGGACCGCCGGACCCTAATTTTCCAAGGTCAGACCACCCCTGAGGGTGCCAACAAAGGACGTGTCGAAACACGTCCTTTTTACCAGGAAACCGTTCCGTCACAATAGGACAACATTTCTTTTCTCTCTTTCGGTTTGTACGTACAATATATTATTATTGTATAGGCGAACATAATATTATAATACTTGTTGGCTATGGTAAACTTGCCTATTATATAGGTCGACATAACCCGACAGGGATTATTGTCCGGTCCAACATAATATACACAGTGCGGCGCGTTGGCCGGAAAACGTGTAAAACCGCCGCGACCCACGTGGGCCCTTGGTTTTTTCTTTTTTTAATAATTATTATCTTTTTCTCGCGTCCGCTTAAAAAATCGACCGTCACATTTTGTCGCACGTCTCATTTCGTCAAGTCCGATTATAATAATAATCAGAAACCGCGTTAAAATAACGGGTGGGAGCGTTGATTTTTTTTCCGTGCCAATTTTTTAATTTTTTTCACCGCTTGTACTTTTTACTTTTCTCGGTAGCTCTGGTTGTACCTAATCATATTATTTTGGTTTCTCGAAAATCGGTTATCGGTCTCTCTGAGGCGACCGGTTTCCGAAGGCGCGTGTAACCCAATAAAGACCAGTTTAACAGCTGATAGTATAATAATAATATTATTAACCGCACAAAGCTATCAATTTCTTTTTCACCAAAATTTGTGTTCCCTAGTGTTTGATGTGTTGTTATTGTGTGTGCCGTGCTTTGCGCTGCTGTATGCACGGAAAGCCCGGACCGTTATACTTGTCGCCGACTAATAAACCAATGTAATTTAATGCATTTCATATTATGTATCAATTTCCAGTGTTAAATCGGCGATTTAATAAATATCAATTTAGGAACTATTGTGCTTTGAATATTTATTGAAGACTATATCGTATATCTCCATCGACAGGTGCACTTTTTGTTTGTTGGGAAATTGAGTTTTGTAACGCATTGGGTCGGAGCCATGTCCAGTCCTCCCCCGAGTGAGAGAAGGTATAGAAATATTTTCGATCTAACGGTACTGACAGATCTTAGAGAGGGCATGTACACTTATCATTAACCTAGTTAAAATTGTCGCCGTTCCCCTTAGATATTTCCATTAAGTAATTTTGCCGGTTAGGTACACACTCAAACTGGCACGAGTTTTCCAAAAAAAAAAAAAAAAAATAGCGTTTTGAAACGGTAGGCAAAACACAAACGGATACATCCACCACCTCGTGGCGATGCCAAGGTTGAACGTCGTCGGTAAGTTTGACCTCTGGCTCCGTCCAAGCGGTACGACTTCTCAGGTGAAAGTGGGCCCCCCTCGGCTATGGGTTTTGTATACAAACAAAACAGTACACATGTACAGCATGTGTATGTACACAAGTCTCGAGTTCAGCCGACTACCACCGCCGCCGCCGCCATTGCTACCGAGCGTATAACATGCAACTAATTTATTGTGTTTCTGTTGGAATCATATTTTTTTTATACCTCCATCGCCGCCTAAAAAACACTGGCCAAAAAATGCCCGCTGCAAAACTGGTCCGTCTTGATTATCATAATATAGCCTAGAGCAACACGTAATCGTTTTGTCCTTTACCCCGCAAAATCGCAGCCCAAGGTCAATGTCGTAGGTTTACCAAATAGCAAGATTTTTTACCGTTATCGCACACACGTTTAAAAACTTTGGACCGCCGCTGTTAAATGCATGTATTATTTTTAGTATAGCACTTCATTCGACCACTATAGTATTTTTGTGATGACTCTTTTTTTTTTTCTAGAGTATGTTTTATACTTGTAGTGTATATATTATCAGGTAAGCTACGGCTCATAATAATATACGGTGCACAGAGGCCCAGAGGGGTAGAACGCCGGAGGCCCCGGTTCGGAGTATAACGACTTTCTCCCCTTTTTTCACTTTGCGGGGTGCTCGGTTTACGTTTATCAGAGGGGTGGCGGCTTTCCGGTTTTTGGGGGTGTTGTGTAGGCGAACACAGAACCTAGTCAATAATAACCTTGGGGCCGACGGTGTTAATTACAGCCGGTCGGATATTATCCGAAAAATAAACTAACTGCAACAAACAATTATTCTAAACAAATATTTAATTGATTTCATTGGCCGCTCTGTTAGCTTTCTGCCCTCAGCTCTCTCCTTTCGCAGCTTATCCCATTCAAGCGGCGTTCTTCTGACCTACAAGCAAGTATTTAAACCCAGTTCGTGAAACTATTTCAACTTGGAAATGGCGTTTTAATACAATTTGTTGGTTCATTGCTTCAGTATACCGAGTTTAACATATTACGGCCAACGTGCGTAGAAATGATGTATGAATGGCACAGGAGAAGAAGGTTATAATACTCCACGTATGAAAATTCAGAGTATAGCAAAAACAAAGTTCGTGAATTTCTCTCCTCTCTTACATAAGAACAAAAAAAATCACATTTAGTGGTATTGTAATAAAAAATGTATTTATTTAAACAATCTATTGACATAAATAAAAAAATTAATGGCATATATTGAAAAAAACAATTTTCATTAATGGACTACTGCTCTTCTTCTCTTGTGTCCTTCATATATATATATATATATATATAGACATAGTTTTCAGTCCATATTCTTGTGCCGGTAGACAACAGCAGCAACTACTGTACAAAAATCATAAATGCATCAATTTAATACATTTATAATATGCCCCATAATAATATTGTTCCTATAAATTGTTCCTGATTTATTTGAGATATTTTTTCTGAGTTATACTTTTCGAAACTTCTCCTCGGGTAATAATAGGATGTTTTCATTACTAAAAACGGACAAAAAACCTTAGGCGTGTGTCTACTCGGAACAAACATTCTTAAACCTTGTACTCATCACACTAGATATAACAAAACCTTAAGCGTAACTATACAATATTGTAGCAACTACGTCGTATATTTTGTACGCAGTTTGTTACATGTCGCGTCGCCTGACACGTTTGTCACATAAACTCCTCTGACAGCAGAGGTAAGTAGGTACCATTTGCGTTTAAGCAAATGCGACGAAGGGAAATAAATAAGTAAATGCTTTTGACGTTAACCTAAATTGATATTTGTCAGAAGTACATTTGATATATATATGTATACTAAGATGTCTTACTACGCGCTAAATTAACGAATGCGACAAAATTGAAAAAAAACCATTAAGATTGAGAACGTCGCTGATACATTATATTAAAACAATAAAATGTACCTATTTGTATGTTTCGAATTCATGTCTACAGTAGTGTAGTCTATTCACCGATTACTGTGTGAGGTATAGGTATTGCTATTTAAAAAAAAAAATTTAACCATGTATTTGCATTATAATCGAATTATTTACATACAAATTAACGGTTCCTTAGTGTGCGTGTGACTCGCATGTGTACTGTAGTAGTATTAATCACGAATAGTTTATAGCAATTAGCAACGACCGTTTTTCGAACAATGTGCCCGGGTCGTCTGTAGTCGTCTGTTCGATTTGAAAATACTAAGAAAATAAAGGCTGCGTAAAAATAAAAAGTACACAAAGTTTGGATTGTTTAAAATACAAATTGAAAATATTCACAAAAATATAAATCGACGTGTTCGTACTTATGTCAGCTGTACAAATTGAATACAATAACATTCTTATGAATATTTGAAGTGTGTTGTAGTACCTATATACCTAAAAGACACATCTTAAGATTATGAAAATATGTGAGATTTGTTTTCTACCGTTACAACACTGGGATAATTTGCGACCCATTTATTTAGTTTTTCTTTTTGGAAAAGTTTACAAGGTTAGCGGTGCACTTGCGTGTGTCATGCGAGTTTTTTCTACCAAAATACTGTACCATACGAACCTAAGTCACATTATGAACAGAATAGAAAGATCTTTTACGCTCATATAACCCAAGTAAATTATAAATGCAGAATTTTCAACGGAATTCCGGTGATGCGGCTTTTGCAATCTGATATTTTACATGCAAAACATGGTTCGTTTAAATCCGAGGCACAGGATAGAGCCACAGTTAACTAACATTTGTACACATTTTTGACGTTTATTTAATTTATTGGTTGTTGTACAGAGTGTATGAATGGGTGTTGTAAGTGAGCGAGGGACATCTGTACAACAGACGATATGGCAAAGCCCAGTTCGCCCGTTATGGTTATCAGTTTCTAATTTCTATCGCCGTTTGATCACTTTCCATGAGCAACGCGACCATTTCAAGTTTAAAACAAAATATATTTTAGTTATTTTTTTTTAAATCGAATAAAAAAAAAAATGTTTTATCATAATATTATACTTTGTCTCCCCCCTAGTCCGATAGGAGTTCATGAATGGAAGGTATTGTAATTTTTTTTTTTTGTTTTCACTTTGTCTTAAAACGTTACAGCCGATTCGCTAATCTCGGGCTAATAATCATTTTCAAACGTTCGTTCGGTTTTGCGGACGTTGTATTATTATTATTATTTTATGATTTCCGTCACGAAACGCTTAACGCCTTAATCGTTTCGACCAAACATGGACACCACGTAATTCGCCGTCGTATGACATTGTTGTCGGTTTTTTGTTTTATTATTTTTAACGTTAAAGTACCACCCATGCATGTCAATACGCGTATATTGGGTATATTTTATGTATTTTGTTTGGCCGCACGCGCTTTGAAACTCCAATATCGAGGACGACGAGGAGTATAAAATGGTTATCCAAAAGAGATTCAGATTTACCCCTCCAAAAGAAACCTGTTGGTTTTTCGGGATCCGATTGTTTAATGTAATTTTTTTTCGGCCAAAAGAATTTGAATAAAAAAATTCACTAACGCGTTAATGCGATTACACATAATATTGTTTCATTATTAATATTGTTATCATCGTCTCGTGCGTGGGTTGGATCCGGTCCAGACGAGAATCCGTATTAACGGTACGAAATCTCACATTGCAAACGCAAGCGAATGTGGAACACTTTCGTCTGTTTTAGATTATTATTTTTTCACTCCAAGGTCACTAGCGGTCGGTCCAAGGAATAGGTTAAAAATATATCTATATGTGTATGTATGTGATATTTTATAACTGCAAGTGGTCGCTGTTTATTTTTTTCTGTTCTTTGATACAAGAGCTAAACTCCACTCTCCACACTCGCAGTGTGCCATATGGTTCTGATTAAAAAAAAAAAAGCAGTCATTGTGTAACACTCACATACATAAACGACAGGATTAACGCTTCCCATCACAATATGATTTAGAAAGATCTCTGCGTGTGTTAAAATATAATTACAAATTACATTATATAATATAGTTTCGCACGGGCCCCGTCCTAGTTTTGTGTTTTACTTTTCACTTTGAACGAAGACTACTTTTTTAATACATTTTTCACTAATTATTTTGAAAATTGGCGATAATAATATTATGTGACTGTAGTCACGCCGAGTTGGCATTTTAGACTATTTAGTAATAGTTCTACGACAACACCTAAGCTATTGTTAAACGAATATGATTGTTATGGTTCTTTAACAACATAATAATACAATAAGGGCACGTATACCTATGGTCCGGTCGCATTAATGATTCTCGACGTTAATTACCCACATGGTATTATATAAATATAGATATAGACTTTGGGAATTGTTGTCAAAACACATTAAAACGGTGCAACGTACATTTTGTGGCTATTATGATATTATATCGCATTTATAAGTAGTTCGGCCGGTATAAGTACAAATACGTTTATAATTATTATTATTATTATTCGTGATGACATTGTCCGGAGTACATTTTATTAAAATATTTTAAACAGGATCCAGAAGTATGGACAGAGATTTGTGCTACATTTTTTTGTTTATTTTAACAAATCTCTCACAAAAAAATAAATGTAGGTATAATAAAAAGCGCTAATTTTAAGGTTTTATTATCCCATGAACCTCCCCCCCCCACCAATTCTCCGTCTATGTGACCAGAAGGGTACTACCACAATTATTGGAGGAACGTTTTTCCTATTTTTGATTGTGTATTTCGTTGTAAAAGTGAATTATCTCCTTGTAACTGAATTTTTTGTAAATTAATGTGTATGAAAAACAATACAAGTAGGTATATTCGTTCAGTGTTTTTCTATTTTTTATTTATTTTTGCGTTTATTAGAGTTCTTATATGTGACTACTCCATTAAGCGAAACTATTTATATTTTAAAAATTCGGAGTTACGGTACTTTTACTATAATAAACGACCCAATTATCACTGCGGCCGACCTTGAAAGGGCTTGTTGTTTTTCACAAATATTCGCCTGCACGGCCGAAAGTTGTTGCCACCCAAAATACTTGTTCGCAATTATTTTTGGATCGACCACGGCACGCGCTCAAAACAATTTCGGCCGTTAACCGAACATTAACGAGGCGTGTTCGGGCTGTCAATAACCAATTTGCCTCATCTAGAATTACATTATAGTATAATTACTGTCGGCGGCCTATTGAATGAAAGGAAGGAAGAGGAAGTCGTAGCTGTAACCTCGGCGGTTTGTCGGTATAGCAGCTTGTATTGAACGCGACCAGTGTTAAAAAAAAAAAAAACCCGCCATCCCAGCAGTTTGTTTTTTTTTTGCTTCCATGTTGTAACGATGTGTTTTTTTAATATGCAATTTTGTTTTACCACGACCCATTTCTCTTAGGTTACAACCTAGGCACGACCGCGGATTGTTACCATCCGTTGGTCGTCCGCTTTTAAGATAGCTAATTCTAACAATAATGGTGTTATTATTAGCCAACACTCCGTGCCAGAAAATCACTTTAAGATACATAATTATTTAAAAAAAAAAAACGGACTGTCACCGAGTCAACGCACCTCTGACGTGCCCTCCAAAAAAAAAACACCTACAGGGTTACTTGAAAGCCTCCCTTCTACGTGCGCGGTCGTTGCCCAAGTTCACGGTAATCGATACTATAATATCAATATGTACCTCGGAAAAACATATTAATATACATCCGAGCCGAGTTTCGCAGTAGGTAATAGTAATAGTGATATAATAACCGCATCCGAAACGTTTGATGTAATAATTATTACCGCTGTTTGTTGTGCCGGTGGTGTGTTCAAGGGCTCGCGGTTTTCTCCATTGGAAAAATATATGTCCGTTGCGAAATTCGGCACGTTAAAGCCAAACCACAGTACTTACTATTTTCCATGCCTTTAGTCGACCGGCAACTGTACCCTGATAGAAAGTCGACTCTGCAGTCAATCTGTAGCACTACACACACACACACATAAACAAAACCTTGTTGTCTAGTCTCTGTAAACGAGTATCGATTAGCAAGCGTTTGTAATCGGAATAACATATTTTCATTTTGATGATGTGTGTGCAGTGCGTGTGTTTGTAGAAACTTTTCGCAACATTAGCAAGTAGTAGTAACGCCGCTAATAATGTATTCCAGTCAACGTCCTTCGAGTTTCCACGAGACCTTGAGAAGTGTGTATTTTGTCGACAGGCAAAATGTTTAGATAAATTATTTTTGCTATATCGGAGGAAAATACCGCTAGGAATTCGATATGTTTGTAAAAATATGTCATATTTCGGAATTGGCAATGAGCAGGGTTTTTTCCCTCACTTAAAACCTCTTCACCGTCTGGTATTTGTTGGGGGGGGGGGGTTGTGCTTATCTGGACCACTTCTAAGCGTTCGACAAAAATACAGTGCAAACGGCGTTTTCAGACTTTTGAACGTATTTAAAATTTACTATACGGCTGTCCCCTTGTATTCTTTAAAATTGGGTTTATTTGAAGTATAAAAAAAAACGCTACATGTACAAACCTTAAAAACCACATGTTCAAATAAAAATGAGTGTTAAGAGTAATAGTTTCATTTTGAAGAAAAAAAAGGAGGTATTCTAAAAAAAACTTTATTATATATTTTTTCTAGTGATCAAAAATAGTATTTAAACTATACAAATTAAAAGTATATACAAACTATTAATACAATTATGACCTTTAACTATTATTTGTACATAATTCTGGGACTGATTTAATAATTTCAGTCGTGGGTCTAGAAATCACAAATGGGAAGAGTGTCAAATTAGACAAACACAAAATAAAGGCTGCAATTGTTTTCTGATAGTCTGTTACCGATTTTCATACTCCACTCCGTTAAACGTAACTAAACAAATGCACAAATAAAACACATGTTTACATTTTTTTAAGCCTTGTAGTTGGAACCATAATTTTTTTAGAACTTTAAATATTTATGGTGATTATTAAGAAATTGAGGGAGATGAATGAAGTCCCTTTGGCCCCTTCCGACCGTCTTAATCAAAGGTTGAATAATAATTTTTCATTTTCAACAGTTTACGGTTGAAATTTTTCCACAATAATAGATGCTCAGTTCAATATATACTTTACAGTGAAAGAATCGAGAGATAATTTTTTTAAAATTTTAATCCTCTTTGTTATTATAGTTTATGCGCGATTGCGCTTCTCGCCACGTTAAAAAAAACATATTATACTGTCTAGACACATAAAACTAAACAGCTGAAATTATATTGTACGATGGGTTTCTCATTAAGTAGTCGTTTCGGAGTTCAAAAGAAAAACATACATGGAGCGTTCAGCTTTTTTACAATATTATGCTTATCATTATTATACACAAAAGCTATTATACAAACGGCTTTTACCACAGCTGGTAACCATTATTGTGTTCAGTGTAGTCATGGTGGCTCACTAGGGGAACGTGTAACCGTCTTACCCCTGGTCCACCTAGACCAACCGATGACTTACCCCAAGTACTCGTGATTGCAAGTTGCATGCGGCCAATTATTGTAATATTGAAATTATTCTAATATTGTTTTTTTTTTTTGTTTGCAGTGTTCATACATTCAGCACAAGACAGTAGAAATGACAGACAGCATGACACGGAATTATAACGGTTTCAACAACTGTACGCCGAAAACTGACCAGAAAACCCAAAACGTAAGTCGCTAAAATTGTGCATTGGAACATTTAATACATTTTAATTTTACATAAATACGTTGGCGAGGCAGGCGGGATTCCCCGTGAATGATAAAAAAAGAAGAACTTTATCTACGGGGTAGCGTTTTTGGTTTTGATAACTAAAACACAATCACCATTATTCATTCGTAAAGATTATTTTTTTTTCGTTTATTTAAAAAAAAAATATTAGGTATAGATATTAAAAAAAAAAAACGCTACCCCATATACAAAGTTTTTCTCTAAACATTGGGAACATTTTGGTAAATCTACTGTTAATACTGGCCTCGTATACTCGTCCCGCTCAAAGCTGTTTTGGTGGGAAAAAAACTGCCTATACTTTACTACTTAGAATTGGCCTGGGCTGCGTCCTCTTAACGATGATTGATAGAAGCCAAAAAATACACCCGAGATGAAATCGTCGAAGCGATGACGGGTTTTACAGTAAAATGATTAAGCTTAAATTATTGTATTTTATTATTATTATTTTTTTACCGCATCGCGCTGAGGTCGCCCGTTGAAGGTTTTACTGCCTGTCCTTTAATAACAATGTAGAATACGTGCCAAAAAAAAAAAAACAGAAAAAAAGGCCGGCAACCTTGATCCGTTGATAAAACTCGATGACTACTTATTCCTTATTTTTTTGCGCATAGCGAATTACCGCGATAAATCCGAAAAGAACAAACCAATAATACTGATAATATACAGTAATAAACTAATAAGTCTAGAAGTGATCATGAACCTGTCTGGGTTTATCTGTTTACTCGGTTGAACTTACTTGCTTACCGACCTACTGCGTTCGATTTTCCGCTAACAAACAAACAAAGTCGTTTTGACCAATAAGGTGAAAACCGATGAAAAGGACCGAGGCATCTATTTCGTCTCATTTCCAATGCTACGACGCCTATAACAAAATACAATAATAATCCATCAACCGGAGAATTACTTGCAATCAATCGCATCTGTCGTTTCTTTTCACAAAAGAAAATAACTTCGTATTACGCCGCATGTAGAAATTAATTTTGTTTAAAGTCTTCGGTCAATAATAACTGTAGGAAGTCTCTCTCTTTCTCTCTCTCTCAAAAAAAACATTAAATTAAAATTACTTGTTCAAATGTTTTGGGCAAAAATCTGGTCCCTAAAGTCGATCCTAAGCAAACGCAACGAGAAGGTCAAATGAAATATTTAAATAAATCTCCACTACTTCATTAGATGAACGAGTACGGTAAGTGGGAATAGAATTAGGTATAGTATAAAGCGCGGTATAGTAATAACGTATAAAATTATAATACTGTCGACACGGGTCGTTTAAAATCGCCTTAAACAATGCCAATAACCTCGTTGGAAATTAGACAAACGAGACCTGACCTAGAAGTACGAGTGGGACCTTTTATGTTTTTTTTTTATTCGCTTATTATAATTTATTTTGAAGTACCAACGGGCAACGCCGGTATTGTCGGCGGAATCGACAGGCAATGTATTTTTAGAAATTTTAATTTTACCTAATAATAACGTGGAGAAGATTTTTTAGTTAAAATATATAGAAAAGACGCAATAATAATATTTTATTCTTAAAACAGTTTAATTGGCTTTTATGATGTAATTTACGCGTGAAAAAAAATAATTAAATCATTTTATCGGCTACCTACCTACTCGTTAAACGCTGAGTGTATGAGTAAAAAACCTTTGACATTAAAAAAAAACCCATTGCTCTTTGACCGCGGTGTAATACAGTGAGCCATGAACGGTATCAATACCGTGATCGATTTACATAAATACAATTTTTCTGCTTTATATATATATATATATATATATATATATATATATATATATATATATATATATATATATATGTATGTATTTATTTATTTATTTATTCATGAGCCTTGGCATTTTGTGAATGGAAACCTACTGTTTTGGATTTCGCCTAATGTAAACGTTGGCCCACATTGTAGTATTGTGAGCAAAACATAAAAATAAAAAATTGCGGTTTTAGTAAAAAAATTGAAGGTGGCAGAGGTTGTTTTCCTGTTTTCAACTGTGTAGCGATAATGATCCGCTCTCTGGTGCTTTGTTTTGGAACCTGGCTTCTTGCAATTTTATCTTCTTTTTTCTTCTTATAATCTCTCGTTCAACCCTCTTCGGTCGATTGCACCGTGCAAAATATATCATACCACAGCTGTAACGATAGTAATTTAATAATAAGATATGTACGGTGTACAAAAGGCATGCGTCTCTGTTTAGATGGAATAAAAAAATAAAAAATCTCATTCCGTCGGCACCAACTCGTGCCGTGACTTAAGGGTGTTTTCTCCTCGTGCAAAGGCCAAAGTCAATATTATATTAATACAGTAGTAGTGCCCGGAGGTTTATAGTCCTAGGTGTTGGTCTCGGGTGTTTTATATCTTTGACGCCGTCCGTTTAATATAATAATATAATATTGTATGCGGAGGAACACATGTTGGGATTAACAGCTAATAATAAAAAATAGTATCCACCGTTGTGGGCCAAGGTCGTCGTCGACGGTTGCCGCATAGGTCAATCAGTAATGTTTTTTTAAATATAATTTAAAAAAAAATTACTTGATTTTCCGTTAAAAACGTTATGTTTTATTGATGCTGCAACAAACGGCCAATATCCTATTATAATATTATTAAATAGTGATAAGTCTTTGATGATAAAAAAAATGCTCAAAACAGTTCACACTCTCACATAGTATTATCCCACTTTCCGGGGTTATCGAAAAACGTTGTATTGTGGAGATGCATCATCTTAATATATTAATATATTACAAACACATACACACAGTGCCAGTCGGTCTTAGTAGTTATAAGTAACCTACAACGTCGGTCGTCGTTTGTTCGAAGCCAGTGTGCATCGATTTGAGTGTGCTCTGTGTACACAGTTGTGTGCTCAAAAGTGTATATTGTGTATGTGTGGTCGTGCAAAACCCTTTGCGGTAGGAACATAGCCATAGTGCGCGTGTGAAAATCTCTTATCGTTATTTCATACTTAACCGGTATTTATTTTTTCCATTTTTTTTTTCAGCAGATGACCCCCACGGACGGTTACGACAATAAAGCGATGCTCAGGTCCGAATTGGATCTTCAAGGAAAGCCCGGAGTCAACGGAGTGACCAGGTACGGGGAGCCGCCACTCGTTATAGTACACACTAATGGCTGCTAATGGACGTTCTGACACCCAACTGAGAGAAAAGTCAACGAATGTCCTTATATATATATATATATACATATTAAAATAACGTACTTACGCTCTGCCTCTGCGTGTCCGGTTACGGCGTGCCAGCCGGTAGTCAAAGTTCAAAGTCGTCGGTTGGTAATAAAAAGCGCCCCGTGAGCGAAAATTCTTGATCGAAACCGTGATGTCAGCCGATAATAATAATAACACCGGTATAATATATCATATCATTTTTCCACGGTCTAATGCTATTTCGAGAAACGGATCGCACGCGTTTGATTTCAAATTGGGAATGACGCAATCGGTTTAGTTTTCACGTTTGTTTTCTCATAGCAATACTCAACATTATTCCTTTTCGGGAAAACGCACGAGAACTACCCCTTGCCCCCACCCTCCTCTCGTTGGCTGTTTGCTGCCTTAACGGTTATTCGAGACCGCTTGTGGTGTTTTAAACGATTTGTACTTGGAATATTTGACTGAATAAAAAATAATATGTACCTATTTTAATGGTAGCACACTAAAAGGCGGACGACGAATAATTGTATAATATGTGTCGTTTATTGTAAAAGTGAATTAGCTCCTTGTAATAATTATTGTGTAGGAAAACAAAATATACAAGTATGTATTAAGTGTTTTCTATTTTTTTTTTTTTTTGCATTTTTTGGAGTTAATTCTCTTATACAATGAAAGATAGTGCAAAAATATGTGTAGGTATTTAAAAAAAATTGAAGTTATACCATTTTTACAATAAACGACCCATATATTATGTGTTTTTTTAGTTATTGTTGTTTGCCTGGTTCGAGCTGCTTACAACCTAGAACAAACCAGTTGTGTGAAACTAATTAATTATATTTGTCATCGGTATTTTTTCGAATAGTTGATTTAATGTGATCATTTTTTTTTTTTTATGTACGTAGTTTTCAAACCGATTTATCCGAAATAATATATTTTTCAACATTGAAATAAAAACCTGCGTTAGTGCGTTATAAAAGTATACCTGCCTATTTATGTTTGTTCTGAGTGCAATCTATTTTATACCGTTTCCGTACAGTAATCGTTTTCTGAAACAAATAAAAAACCGATTATAGGCTTACAGCTGCGATTTCGGAGTGTACCGTTGAAGCTTTCTTGAAAACGCCACTGATCTTATACAATCCGACTTCGTGTTTTGAGTGATTACAAGTGTATAAACGTGTAGGCGTGCTCCACTTATTATTATTTTTATTTCCTAATCTCATCTCTCGAGTGTCAGACGTTCAACCGTTAGCCGGTGTTACCATAATACTATATACATATATATTATGATGTACACGCGTTTGACAATATTATATACTCAGGTGGTTTATTTTCAATATCGTTTTCAGCATAAATATGGATAACTTGAGTAAAGTAACGCACAACACGACCACGCCAAACGGACAACAGAACGGAAAACCAAATTTCTACGACCCTTACCAGCACCGAGATGTCAAACATCCCACCTCGTAAGTGCTGCGTCCGGCGACATATAAGCACTACACCGAATTACCGGTTTTTGCTTGCCTTGTAAAGTTGTACCTGTTGGTCAGCGGCCAATTTTGGTTTCAATTTGCTATTGTAAAATAAACGGTTTTTTTTTCCCGCAGGTATTTCGATACGTTAATACATCTCCTTAAAGCCAGCCTGGGTACGGGCATACTGGCCATGCCCAGCGCTTTCCGTAACGCTGGTTACATAGTGGGCACGTTGGGTACCATCATCATTGGTATTTTATGTACATACACAATACACTTGTTGGTAAGTATACGCCGCAGGACAAAATTACGGAATAATAATTGTGATGTGCTATAATATTAACCCGGGCTGGTTTCCTTTTGTTTCCACAGGTGACTTCTTCGTATGTGTTGTGCGTTAAAAGAAAAGTACCTAGTCTGACGTATCCGGCCTGTGCGGCAGCGGCGTTCGAAGAAGGACCAAAGATGACTCGGAAGTTCGCACCGTACGCCAGGTAAGATCCTTCGGTAGTTATGGAGTATAACACAGCACACTGGACTTGATATTATATGGAACGCGTATTGCCTGTACAGGTAGTCGGCTGCTTATGAATATGTGCTAATTTATTTAACCGTTTGTTTTTTAGAATGATTACAAAGTTGTTCCTAGTCTTGTACCAAATCGGTTCCAGTTGTATATACATAGTATTTATAGCCAAGAATCTCAAATCGGTAAGTGGTGATACACGAGGATTGAGAAATTAGAGGAACATTTCATTTCATTCGGTTGTTTTTCCGTGTTTCACAGATAGGTGACAACTACCTCGAGACCACGGGCCCCTACACTGACGACCGCATGTACATGGTGTACATAATCATTCCGTTGATATTGATCTGCTGGATTCGAAATCTAAAACTGCTTTCTCCGTTCTCTTCGGTGGCCAACTGCTTGTCGATGCTCAGCTTCGGACTGATATTCTACTTTATCTTCCGCGACCTGCCTTCGCTGAGCTCGCGGGCTCCGGTGGGCACCATCAAGAGTATCCCGCTGTTCTTCGGTACCGTTCTGTTCGCCATGGAAGCCATCGGCATGGTAAGTGCAAATTTTCCGCCAGTTTGTGATGCGGCTTTTAAAAAAAATATATATTTTCGTTCTTTGCCCAGGTTTTGCCGCTCGAAAACGAAATGAAGAACCCAAAAAAGTTTGGCAGCGTTTTCGGAGTGCTCAACGGCGCCATGTTACCAATCACGCTGCTGTACACGTTCGTGGGTTTCTTCGGCTACTTAAAGTACGGCGAAGCGACCACCGGCAGCATAACTTTGGATCTACCGGCCGGAGAACTGTAAGTGGGTCCCATCGATTAGCAGCAATGCGAGCCCTGGTCGTTATCACACATCCTTTATAATGTGTCATATTAATGTACCTATACATTTTTACTTACGCAGGCTCGCTCAAGTCGTCAAGCTTTTGCTCTCAATTTCCATTTACATATGTTACGCTCTATCCAACTACGTGGCGTTCGACATCATGTGGAAGAGTCTGGAGACGAAAATGGAAAAAAACGAGAACAAGATCTGGTGGGAATACGCTCTGCGGACGTCCATTGTTATGGTTACATGTAAGTGTGCATACATCCGAGTTGACCGTAATGGCAGCAATCGAGGGGGGTGTCCGGTCATCTCCATATTTTGAAATCGCCAAAAGAAAATCCAAGTTTTTTTTTTTTACCAAATCAGAGTTTCGGTCAATCGAGAATCGCATGAAGTTTATGATGTTCGTGCCCGACGTACGGTTATTTCTTGTGATTGCGTTTTTGATTTGACTACTAACCCTCGTCTCTCCCTCTTGTGGTTTGTGTACACTCATCATTGTGTATTGTTATTCCTTTTGTTACAGTCTTCCTGGCCGTCGCCATACCCAACCTGGAGCATTTGATTTCGCTGATTGGCGCGTTCTGCTTGTCGACCGTGGGCATTGCGCTGCCGGCAATCATTAACTTCTTGACGTTCGTGGACATTTACAGAGAAGAAGGGTACTTACGGCTCGGTCTGTTCGTGCTGCGAAACCTGCTGATAGTGGCTATCGCCGTTTTCGCTTTCGTCATCGGAGTGTCCACAAGTATTACAGACATAATAAATCACATGAAGTGATCTCTTTCAAGGGCGGCGTTTGTTTTGGATAACAAACAATGTATCAACACTGAGCTACCGTCTGGTCGCGTTGGTAGTTTTTTATTATTTTTTTTTTTTTAACTAGTGACCAATCATTGTTATTATTATTATTATTATTACTATTATTAATTATTATTATTATTAATATTAAAAATTCGCCTAGACGAATCCCCACATGTAAACCTGTAACGACTAAAGTAAAGTAAAAAAAAAAAAAACAAATCAAATTCAGTATTTTTCAATCGTCCGAAGTTTGATTTCGATGGTTTTTAGAATTTCTATTAATATTAAAATATAATAATGCCAATTCAGTATTTTTGCCATTTTAATTCGTATAATAAAATAATAATTATTTGATTTTGTAAATTTTAACATTTTTTTTTTTTTTAATGGAGTTTACTACTATTAAAAAAAAAGAGATAATAACAAAACAGGGTGTCCCTGGTTGGTTATACTCACTACGGGAAGACGAGACTTCGCAGTCTATCCATATCTATTTTACACATATATTATATATACTATATTACTTCGCACGAGGTTCACAGTAGGTTCTCCAAAGACAGTTTTTATAATTATTGAATTTCGAGCAACTCTGTGGACTATAAAGACTTTTATTAAAATTTATTACCTTGTTTTTTTTTTTGTATTATTGTTGTAAAATATTGAACTATTACTATTCACATGTCATAATAATGCGCGATCAAAAGTTTATATCAAATTATGTTTAAGCTAATCGTCATTGTTAGTATATTTGTTTTTTTTTTTATATATATATAACTTAAATATCATGAAACAGGTACATCTTGATCCGGGTAAAAGATTTGTTCTTAACATTCCTACGCGTTTAACATCTTTATTAGTATTTGTTTATTTAAAAATCGACTTACCATTTCAATTTTTAATTATCTTTCTTGCTCAATAATATGTAATGTATAGAGTGTGTACACAGTAAAATGTTATCGGACGTGAATTGCCTAGTTTAAATACGATGTTGTAGAGATTTGTATCTAGTTCTAAAAAAAAACTACATTGTTTTTTTTTTACCACCAGATACATTTTTTCGAATTTTTGTGAAATGATATTATTGTGATACGAGTACATAAAAATATACATAGTTTTGTAATAACGTGAATATTATATTGTAGTTAGTAATATTATATAATTATGCATATAACTATACAATGTATTTTTTTTCGAATAAAAAAAAAATTATATTATATAGTATAATACATATGTGTATAAATATAAGATTTTTTTTTTAACGAAATTTTTATTATGTATTTTAGACTGAAAAATAAATTTAATTTTAAAGAAATATAAGTTATATTTTGCAAAACTATGAAAGCTGATTATTGTTATTATTGTGTTTGGGCTTTTAGAGAAGACCTGTCGTAAGTCGCTTTGTATTTACCTGAACTAAAATTATTTTAATATTGCATTAACAAGGCCAAAAAAAAAATAACTTAATGTACCTATTTAATATTTATTTAGCTTTTTTTGATTAAAACAAAATCGATGAATATTATATGGCTTTTTTTAACTAATGAAAACGTGTATCTTGGCCAATCTGAGGAGAAGACATATTTTTTCTGTTAGATTTCATAATAAACATACAAAAAGCAAACTATTTTTCACAAAAATATCTTAATAAATCAGAAACTTACTGCCGGATGACTGAAATATCGCTATATTTAAAAATGTCTTCCATTAATGCCTTTTTTTTATATTAACGGTGAAGACAGATAAAGTCGGTCAAACTGACGTTGTTTAATAACAACGTTAATTCATTGCAACAAAGGAACTTTGTAAAAACTAATCTTTATTTTCAAAAGTATAATGGAAAATGCATAGGTAATATCATAATAAATTTGTTTTCTTATAAAACCGTGAGATGAACATAATTTTCATAGTATTTGTTTTTAACGCAATAACTATGTTTTACGCTTAAACAAAACAAAACGAGAGTTTCAAACAAAATTCTTAAAAAAATTAGATTACTTTTTAATGATTTAAACCCATTTTTAGGGATTGAAGATATAATTGAAAATATGCAGCACTTTAATATATATTTTTTTTAAATTGGCTCTCATGATTATGCTGTACCACAGTTAAAATGTCAAAAATGAAAAATGTTAAAATCTGTGATTTTATTTAATATATTTTCGTCACGATATGTGTGTTTCGAAATTCGGTTCTAATTATAATGTAAATTACAAGTAATTGTTTGTTTTATGATACCTTTGAATTTTTAGTTTTTCAGCCCATCCATTAACACATTTTGTAAGGTAGTTTACCTTACCTTACCTTACCTTACCTAGGGATTGATGCTAATATGCTTGTTATTAATAAAAATTAAAATAGTACAAAGATAATTGGTTGTTGTCAGTTAATATTGAGAGCATAAAAAACATAAGCCTAAACGAAGTTCATTAGACTAACTCAGTTTTCAAACTTTGTTTCATCAAATGACTAACAAAACCGTTTGGCTATTCCCAATATAATATTCTGGTAGCATATTTTAAATTTAGAATTTTCAGTTTAATCTTAAAAAGATATTCTCCACTGTAACTGTTACCTTAGTAATTGTACACATAAACAACAACAAAATAATAATAATACTACAGTTAGTATGAAATTAAACTGGCATTTACAATAATATTAAATTTTAAGAAAATTCATAAGAAACAAGTTACAACGGCTTATGCCAACAAACGATATTGTCGAACGCCGTCTCAGCCGCTGTTTACTTATGTGGCCCTGGTAGGCAATACTATTAGTTCGATATCACAATATTAACCAAACGTTTCTAAAATATTATTTCCTTCACCATTGGAACAACATATTTTAAAATTTAACGTTTCAAATATATTTTTGTACACTGTATCCAGAGTACTGAGTACATTGTACATACTGTAGTATATATGTATATGATTGTTATGTATGTATAAGTTTAACAGAAATGTATTGGAATATGAAAAACTACAGGCAATAATAAATAAAAGTCGTGCGATTACTTAAACAGGTGTAAAAAAATGATTAACGACCGCTATAGCTGTTGTCTGATAGTGGAAACGGTTAGATGTACTTTGTGGACTATGAAAATAACTACCAAAAAATGAAATCGACACAAAATTATTGTACAAATATAATATATAATAATTTATACAAATAATAGTTTATTGTTCATTAATTTACAACATGACATTCTACTTACAAATCTAAGAGACGAATTTTAGTTAACGTTATCATAGTTAAATAACGTTTTTATTAATACAGTTTTAGCCGTAAAATAATCTTGTAATTTACTATCATACATTTATGTATATTGTTTGCATAACCAAAACTCCTTATTATTAACATTCGTGACTCGAAACTAATAACACTGTAAACCGAAAAATATACGAATAATTATTACGCCCATTACGATTATTATCTCGTCGAGTGTTGACATGATTTTTTTTTTAAAAATAATACTTGTTTTTGTCATCATAACTATTGTAACCGGCACACGCTTTTTTATTTTTCAGGTTAATATGTTTTTTTACAATAGACAAACAGAATAATAATATTACAAAATATCATTAATACAACGCATCGACCTGTGCACTCCATTTGAAATAATATTCATTTTCGATAATGGCGATTAATTATATAATAATGATTTATAAAACATGAACAATTATAATTTGACCTATTTACGCAGCAATTTCACACGACGGCGTTTAGATTTATTATTATTTTTTATACACAATAAAAAAAACAATTTTGTATGACTATAATATAAAAGGTTTTTGCACATATATCCCTTCTTCATCAAATACTCGATGATAAAAAAAAATATGTCAGCGTAACGGGAGCCAAAATCAAGTATATTACACATATACGTACACAGTAAAATATAATATAGTAACAGTTAAATTGATTGTCCCTTACGCTGCCATTTTGTTTCCGAAGATAACAATAACAATTCGAAACACTGTTAAAAATGAACACGGGGAGATACTAATCATAAAAAAACATTATTACTCTTAGTTGTGTACAGAATTGCACATAATACAAATAGGTCTACCAATACGGTAGTCACTTTTTTTGTTTAAAAAATTTGATCAAAAATAGTGACCAAGTCTTGTGATCGTATCAGCTATTCTGTGTTTCAACAATCATTGTGGACGAAAATACAAATGAACACAAGTAAAAATATTATGTAGGTAGGTAGTGTATCGTCGGCCTAACTCGCAATTGTCCTAACTCCAAAATGACAACTTTTCAGCAGAAGAAAAAAACGTTTCACAGTGCTGGGTTTGGGCTAGTGTCGAAAAAACCATCATCAAGACAGAAACCGACGAGAGCGGCACATGGTACCCGGATACACGTTCCGGGACGACGGGCCGAGCGCGGACGAGCCGGCTACGTGGATTTAGGCCGACCGCGCGTCCGTTGGGCGAGAGCCCGGCTTGGCCGCCGCATGAGGTCCTGGTGGAAATATTCAAAAATGTGACATAACTCCGGTGCGTTGCGTTTGACTGAACGGCGTCGACGTAACGGCACAATTTCCATAATTTGCCGCCGCGACACACGGCCGGCGTTAAACACTTGTGTGCGCGTTGTGCAGCATTACCGTGTACGGTACACGCACGTGCGGCGCATGGTGCCCTGGTACACGGAAAGCGGTAGTTTCATTTTCAGTTGCGTACGCCGCCCACGCTTCGTGTCTTCACCGGAGATGCCTGGTAAAAATAATGTTAAAAAATTGCATATAATATATATGACCGTTTCACGTTAGCGAAATAAATCTTCAACAATATAAATTATTGTTACATTTTCAACCGACTGAATTTTTACCGATTTGCCAACAATACATTACAACGAACTTCCGCCCTCCCCCCCCAAAAAAAAGCGACTAAAGAACAAAGGGACTGGACTTAAAGACCGGACGCGTCTGGAAGGATTTGAATGGGCCGCTACCGGACTACAATAACGATATTCGCTTTGTCGCTCGGTTTTTCAAAATAACTATTATTATTGCCCAGTGTATCCGATTGAAATAATAATGTATTGAAAATTATTGAAATAATAGTATGCAATTTTTTCAGAATTTTGCAAAATCAATTCACTCGACCCGACGCTGGAAGTCTAATATTATATCTGTGTAACTTCTATTAATAATTGGTCAATAATTATAGACCTTATCTTGGTGAATAATTTTAATTATTGACATAGAACAACAAGAATAGTTACATTTCTACCTTGTATTTTGTAACGGTCAGAATTTTCCATTGCCCGTTATAACCAAATCTCATTCACACATGGATCTCACACACAAGGACTTAGTGTCATTGCGTTGTGTCACGTTCACGGAATTGGCTACCAGGGTCTTATGCGGACTCGGTCTCATTCGTAGCCGTACATGCATGCCTGTAGCCTGTGTCGATACCATACACACTCTACAATAGTGTTTACTCTTATAATATAATATAGTAATAACATGGCAATAGTGTCCCTCTTAAGGTTCAAAATACAATATTTTTAACGTTCAATAGTAAAGTAAAACATTATGTTTTAAGCTGTTAATGGCCCCAAACAATCATTTTTCTAAACGAGTATTAATTTTATAAATAATAACACAAAAACACTTGCGATACAAATTACAAAATAATAATAGTTCTATTATTTATTCAATTATATTTAGTATGGAGTAAACAAAGAATAACGGTAATTTTTTACTAAAGCGAAAAATTGAATAACAAAAATATCAATTATCATATTATGATTATACTAAAAAAATAAATATTTGTTTTAAAATGTCGCTTATTTATCTGCAACGCAATTAAATTTGTTTTTTTTCGACAACAACATAATTATTCGGTAACGTCAAATTTGTTTAACTTAATTTAAGTTAGGTTTGAGATTTAATTTTCTCGAATAACCTTTTTGCATTGTTAATAGGCGTTTTTTTTTATTATTGTACGAGTTGAAAGAGAAAACGATGACGTCTTGTCTGGTAGATAATCAAAGTTTGTTTTGTTCTAAAGGAAGACTTAAAACATGACTAATGAATCATCAGACTAAATTAGGTTAAATTAATATTTAAAAAAAAAATAATGAAACCCAATTTGTAGTCCCAGTATAGGACTTGATTAAAATTAAAAATCATTCAAAAGTTAAAATTTAAATGTCGACATAGTCGCTAGT